TATAAGTATGCCTGCCCATACACACACACACACACACACACACACACACACACACACACACGCAGCTAGAGGAGGATGTCAGGGGTCCGATGACTCTCCAACTTAGTCCTTCAAAGCAGGGCCTGTCACTGACCTCGAGCTAGGCCACCAGCACCAGCAGCAATCCTGTCTCGGCACCCCACAGTGCTAGGGTTACAGACACATGTGGCCACCCCTGGCTTTGTACATGGGTGCTGGGATCTACGCTCAGGTCCTCATGATTTATCAGCACATGCTATTCCTACGTTTCCACCCAAGCCATCTTCCAAGCCCAGAGTTGCACTCTTTTTTTAAATTACCCCTCCTGAAAATTCTATTTTCCTTCTCTCTGGGCAGCTTGATCTATGGGTCTAATAGAAATACGCCCTGCCTGATTTCCTTGCCCTCTTTTTGCCTGGGTTGTTTTTCGTGGTTCTGGGCACTAAATGTGGAACCTCACGTATCCTAAGCACATGTTCTACCACTGGGGTAGTCTTCCTATACATCCCCTGGGGTAGTCTTCCTATACATCCCCTGGGGTAGTCTTCCTATGTATCCCCTGGGGTAGTCTTCCTATACATCCCCTGGGGTAGTCTTCCTATACATCCCCTGGGGAAGTCTTCCTATACATCCCCTGGGGAAGTCTTCCTATGTATTCCCTGGGGAAGTCTTCCTATGTATCCCCTGGGGTAGTCTTCCTATGTATTCCCTGGGGCAGTCTTCCTATGTATTCCCTGGGGCAGTCTTCCTATGTATCCCCTGGGGAAGTCTTCCTATACATCCCCTGGGGTAGTCTTCCTATGTATCCCCTGGGGAAGTCTTCCTATGTATTCCCTGGGGTAGTCTTCCTATGTATTCCCTGGGGTAGTCTTCCTACACATTCCCTGGGCTAGTCTTCCTATACATCTCCTGGAGTAGTCTCCCTATACATCCCCAGGGCAGTCTCCCTATATATCCCCCTACTCTTACTCTTAGAGTTTCCTTGACATGCATCTTGGGTCATTTTCTTGTTTCCTGGACTTTACTTCTTCCTCTTTCACGTTTTTCACTCTTGCTTTATTGAAACACAACATCTAGAACTGCCATCAGATTATAATGGCTATGCCATGACAGAAGAAAGGACAACCTCTACCACTGAGTTGGACACCACATTAACATCAGTATGATGTTATTAAGACATTAGGTCAGCCCGGCAGTGGTGGCGCACACCTTTAACCCTAGGACTTGGGAGGTAGAAGCAGGCAGATCTCTCTGAGTCCAGGCCAGCCTGGTCTACAGAGTGAGTTCCAGGATAGCCAGAGCTACACAGAGAAACCTCGTCTTGAAAAATAAAATAAAATAAAAAATAAAGATGTTGGGCCTTCACCAGGTGATGAGGCCATGAGGGCTGTCTCTTCCCTTCTGAATGGAACTATGGCCTATGTAAAAGAGGTTTCGTGGCCCTAATGGGCTTGCTTTTCTGCCTCCCATCATGTGAGCACATTGCCCTCCTGCTCTCCAGGGGATACAGCAACAAGTTGCCTGTCTTGAAGCACAGAGGCGTTCTCTTCAGAGAACGGAACCTACTGGCACCTTGATCTCCCACATTCTAAGGCTGGGAGATTTTGTTCTTCATAAATCATGTAGTCTGTGGCATCCCATCATAGGAGCACACATGCAGTAAGACATGTCTCAGGCCATACTGTTCCAGCATGGACGGGTGACTTCAACACCTCATGCACTGTCATCCCAAAGTCTCCCTCCTCTGTGACACCATGGCTGTCATCAGCATCACAGGCCCTCTGTCTAACCCCTGGTTGTTTCCTCTTCCTCCTCCTCCTCTTGGACAATATCCTCTAGTGGCTTTTAGGAAAAGAGTACATGAGAGGTAAGTTCTCTGAGAATTATTTATAAATATTTTTATTCTACCTTTGCATTTGAAGTGTGGCTGGAGAGAGAGTTCTAGGTTGGAAATTATCATGTTCTTTCTTTTGTGCATGCTATATTATTTATGGACTGCAATGAATAAAAACAAATAAATTTGGGATCACTAAATTCTAATCATTATAGCTGAAAAAGAATTATTGTTCATGCCTGTTATGTAGGTCAGGAACCATGTTTCTCAGTATTGAAGTATTCCCCCCTTCCCCCCCAGCCCCAGCTTGAGAACTTACACGTCTCTACTGAATTAAAATAAGACTGGAGGGCTGAAGACAGAAGGATATAAAACCCTGCCTCTATGATATTAACCCTGGCCAAAATCATTAGAGGAATTAATAAAAAAACAGCAACAACGCTCCTAAACAGCAGATTTTCCACCAGAAAGGTTTCACCACTGCCCCCATGGGCTGTCATTTCTTATTTATTTATTCATTCATCTATCATTAATTCACTTGAATTTGATAGTAAGAGGCTCCTTAGTGCTAAGAACATGAATAGCTATGAGGTTTTCATAAAACCACGTCGGAGATCACAGATTCCTATTTATGAAAGGCCCCAGGACTTTATTCTCCTGATTAACTAACTGATGCCCTTGGCACAAATGAGAACACTGGCTGGAACCTAAAGCAGAGAGAATGTTTTACTCCCAAAGCATCGTACATGGAGACTCGGAGCTCATTTCCATTCACTTTAAAAGCTTCCCACATGAAGGCTTTGGAAGCTGCCCTGGGAGCTAGTACTGTCCTCAATTCCTGATTTATTCACAGACACACACCCTCTCATTTACCATGATGTACTTTTCTCTGGCCCACAGAACTCTAATATAGCACATCAGTTGAGGCATATGCCTGCTAACATTTTGCAACCATTTGAGGGAAGTGAATCACTTTGTCACAGGTGTGAATTACATATACATCGGTATGTTGGCAGACTGCAATCTGAAAGAATTAGTCGTGGATGTCAGGGAGGGAGACGTCCTTTTCTCCTGTGGTGTAACCACTGGTAAGTTGCCTGTGCTCCAGTAAATAAATATCCCACACCCGTGCTCATGCAGACAACCCTAAATGACTCAATGGGTGTCAAAAACAAAAACAAAGACACGAAAGTGGGAGGGGACAAGTGGAGAGGAAAGCGGTTAGCAGGAGGGGGATAAGAGGATGGCTCGGGGTGAGTATGATCACAGTACACTATATATTTGTAAATATTTATATATATACATATATATTTGTAAATATATATACATATATATGAAAATTTCAAAACATTTAAGATGTAGTTAAAAATATGAAAGTATTAATCTCTATCCTTCATGAAAACCCGGCCTAAAATAAACTCTTCCCCACTCAGAACATATCAGATCTGCAATGCATGTCAAACCCTTGAACTCCAGATGCAGGTGTGCCACAAGCTGAGATCACAGGGTAATGAGGGGGCTCTTCTCTCCAGTGCAGCAGGTGACGGACTCGAGTCTCCTTTTCTGTGGCTAGGCCACTCTGGGTCTGTATGTGACTCCTGATGCTCTCTATGTGTTCTGTTATACGTCTGTGTCACCGGCATAACAGGTTATACGCATTTGCTCTCGGATATGGCTTCTGCATTGTCTAAAGAAACACTCTGGCTTATGGTTTCTTTCCCTGGGGATTTAAGCAGTCCTTTGTGTATGAACTGCCCAAAGTATCAGCACTGTGATGATTATTGCTAGAATAACCTGGGAAAGCACCAGTTAGTGTGGTTCTCTAAATAACATTCTAAGTAAATCCCATGATCTCTTTTTAATTGTCTAGGTCCCAACGTTGTCATAGCTCCACTCTGGGCCAGCCTGTGTGGAGTTACACCATTTAACCCTCGTGCACACTGATGAACTTTCTCTTGTATATCTTGAGTCTTCCTGAAAAACAGTTTGAGGCAAGGCTTTGTGCAGATAAAATTTGGGAGTAATCCTTCAAAGTATAAAGAAGGCTGGAAAAATAAAAAGAGCCAGTCTAGGGATGCATTAAATAGGCCCCAGAGTGACAATGGGCATTCAATTCTATTTAGCCTTCTAAGAACTGGGCATCTATTCTCTATAATTATCAAGCAGAAGGGCAGAGAGGAAGGGTATTTTTCACTGGTTTCCATGTGCCTAGGGGAAATATTACTCCCAGAAGGAACAACTGATGGGTTCACAACACGCCCCCACGGTTGGGCGTGTTTACATATGCCCGGCGGACATGGACACTTCCGCCTAGCCAGTTCCAGTTCAAAATAGCCATTTCCGGGTCAAGGCATCTTGCATGACCAGGATCCGTGACTTTGCATGGTTATGTAAGTGAGCAACGTAGCCATGTGATCTACACACATGCGTGGAGTAGTTACGTTGACCTGTGCACGCCCAGCCTTTATAAGCCCGGCACCATATTTCCGGCTCCTTCTTCTTCTCTACACACGTCTCTCCCACAGGCCTGGGCACTCTCTGTCCCTTTCATCTTAATAAAACTCTTATTAGCAGATTCTGTCGTGTTTCGTGACATTTCCTTGCAGGGTAAGAGCGCTGCAAAATAACTAACAATAACTTCTCCCGGGGCAGAAAGCAGAGAAGGTGGGCCTTAGCTGCATGTAGGGAAGAGAGTGGATACAGCTGCCCAGGCTGACTGCAGCCACAGTTAAAATCCGAGCAGAGATGAAGTACCTGAGTCAGAACAACAAGCTTATGTCACAATTACCATCCCACGTTACAGAAAGGAAACTGAGGCACATGGCCATTTCCTCACCTGTCCAAAGACTCCAAAGACTGGAAAGCTGATGAGGCTTCATCCACAGCTACTATGGCACTCTCCTGGGCGATCTGCACAGCCCACTCATCAGCTCAGCTCAGAATCTATCTTCGTGACATTCATTCAAATGTTGTATTTCCTCCTGGAGAGTGAATTTTCATTCCTTCAACAACAACAACATAGAAAAAATGCTCCTACAGTGCTGTGATTGTATTTTTGGGAGACAAACAGGTCCCTTTCATTTGAGGCCATGTTTAAAGAGACATTCAGGGAGGGAAAACCCGCTCAGACAATCACTAGAGCTCAGAAGAGGCTTTTTAATTTTTATTAAAATGTTGTTCTTCACAGAGTCTAGAAACACACTTGGTGACAACCTATTAGACATCAGCCTTCCCTTTTAAACACATGTGAGAAATTGCAAGCCAAACTGTGCGGCTGCGAATGTATTAAGTCGTACATACGTAGTGTCAGGACGACGTCAACATGAGAACATTTGACAGGTTCTTCTCAGGCACACAGAATTTTCTGACAGATTGTTTTTCCCCTCAGTAAAAGCTGAAACAATTAAGAAGGCTTTGAAATACGAGCTTGAAGGACCACAGTATTAACACAGTAACGGGACCAAGAGCTAAAGATGGCATGCACACAGGGCCCAGGGGGCAGCAGAGCCTCAAGAGGGGTGCCAGTCCCCCGTTTCTGCTGTGAGCGAACAACTCTGAGGGGTGACAAACAGAGAGGAAGGCGGTCCCTCTCGGAGGAGAAGGTGTTTGGGGTCACACTCAGGAATCACAGGACATCACACAACAGAAAAGGAGATGCCTTACACGTGGACTGAGCGTCCTCCTAGGGGACAAGGGCCAGCGTGGCTAAAACAGGGGCTGCTAGGAGCACTGCCTTTGAGATGTAGAAGTCTGCCAGTGAGGAACACCCATCCACTCAAGGCACCAGACTGGCTCCACCAAGTATCATCAACAAGAGCAAAATATCCTAAAAAGAAGAGCAGAGCTGCCCACTTGCTGTAAGGGGGAAGGGTTGGGTTTGAACTTGGCCTAGGAGATCAATCCCACCACTGTTGATCACACACAAGAACCAGGTCACTGAGCTGTGGAGAAGAGCGCTCTCTCCCACCCACCATGGTCCACACTGAAACCACTGGGGAATGGGAGTGAAGCGATCAACCAGGGTGTGGAAACCAGAATCATACAGCACACTGAAAATGAGACCGGAGGGTTGGCCTGTTCTCTGCGTCAGACTAACAAGTCTTGGGGCAGCATCACTTGTCCTAATCAAGTATTTTTACCTCAACGGCACCCAAGAACCCGGTACATGTCACCTGCAATTTTTTCAGCACCTTTTAATTCCAAACATCTGCCTATGTTACTTCACTCCTGTAAGTGACTCAATACACGCCACTACAGCGACTCTGGTCTTTTGTTCTAGGTCATGTGGGAGAAAAGAAGACTGTGCCGTGGGCATTTCTCAGACTGTCTTCTCCACTACAAGGCTTTCCTCCCTGCTGTTCATCAAGTACAGGGTAAAGCGGAACCCCCAGCAAAGGGCTGGCAGTGTTTTCTAGGCAGCACTACTGGTAACTGGTGGAAGCGGGTACATTTGCTGGAGGCCTCAGTGATACCAACAGGATGTAAAGGTAAGTAGAGGTGGGACCAGTCATCCCCCATTTATGACCAGAAAACTGGATAAAGGGGTTAGAAAACGGGTCAGATGACTGACTAAGGAACACCACTGGATGCTGTGGCTCCGACTTCTCAGTATAGAAACTTCTCCTATTTGTTACTCCTATTTAGTTACCCAAATAGGCTCTTCACTGGGCATGGTGGCACAGACTTTTAATCTCAGCGCTCAGAAAGCAGAAGCAGGTGGATCTCTGAGTGTGAGGCCAGCTTAGTCTGTATAGTGAGTTCCAGGACAGCCAGGGCTACATAGAGAGACCCAGTCTCAAAAAAATTAAAACAAAATTTAAAAAACCAAACCAACTTCACCGTTGTGGCCATTGCAGCCCATAATTATCTTGGGCCTCCTCTGAGTACCTGCTCCCTTTGGGTTCTTTCCTATGCACAGGGAAAGGAGGAGCCCCCCAGAAAATATGAAGGACCCTCAGACCTGTTCCATACTGTCCAGCTCACAGTGGGTCTGACTAAGGACACAGATCACTAAGATAGATGGATATATACTCCCTCAATAAAGAGGACACGGGATTTTATGTAAACTTCCCTTTTGCCCAGACAGGAGGAGTCACCCCACAGTGGCTTGCAGCCAGAGTGCAGAAGAACAGGAATACATAAGCCCCCTGTTGCTTCCAGGCACTTACAATCCTCGCTAGGAGTCTACCTTTGGGAAAATGCTCACTTTATTGTTTCTGCTCATCTTCCGCTCCACCCTGCCTACTCTGGGCACCTTTGTCTGGATCAGCTCTTCTGGGGTATTGCCCAGTGGGGGAAGCAGCCTCTTCTTGCTATTTCGGGTCTCAGAGAGCCACTGAGGGGGCAACTCGAAAGGCCCAAAGCCAAACTGCAGAGAATATTTATCGGGGAATATCCCATGTTCCACAGGGGCTACCGGGGCCACCTGAGATGGAGAGTCCACTGTGCCTGGAGGTGGTACAGAGGGTACCTGCTGCGGCTCCTGTTCTCCCTCTGGGCAGGAGGTGAGTACCTCCTTGGCCTGGCAATCAGCTGAGCCAAGATACTTGGCCTCACTCTCTTCCTCGTCCTCTGAGGGCTTAAAGATCTGCTGCTGCCCGATGTGGAACATCTCCAGGAGCTGGCTGCCAGAGCGCATGCTGGGCTCCAGGCTGGCCTCAGCCGCCCCACTCCCAGTACTGACCACGTTTCGGCGACTGTACCGGTGGTGCAGCTGCACCAGGGTCCCAACCAAGCACTTGCGGACGGATTTGTTCACAGTGAGGAAGAGCACGGGGTTGGCCAACAGAGAGACTTTGGGCAGCCAAATGGCAGTGAGAAGCAAGAAGATGGAAGTGTTAGGTACATTGAGCACGGTCTGGTAGACGACCAGGGTGGCATAGGGTACGCTGCAGAGGATGAAAACTGTCACCATGGAGAGCAGGGTGGCATGTAGCTCAGCCTCCCGCTGGGAGGCATACGGGATGGAGATGGTGTTCTGTGGGGTCCTCAGCGCAGCAATGATGACTTTCTTCTTCTGGCTGGCACTCAGAGCCCTCCGGATCAGGATTAGGAAGAGGAACACCACAGCCACAGGCACAATGACCGTGGTGACGTTGTAGATCAGAACGTACACCAGGTGGCCCAAGGAGTTGCTCCAGACTTCCGTGCAGGTGGACATGGCATAGATGTCGGCGACGTTGGTCACGGCAAACACGGGGACACTGGCCACCACTGCGTGAGCCCAGATGTACATCACTAGCTCCCGAGACTTGGCGTCAGATATTTTTCTTTCCAGAGGATAGAGGACTGAATAGTACCTGCATGACATAAGATCACAATTCACTTCACAGGGGAAAAAAATACTCTTGAAATTAAGGTAACCTAAGCTACCAAGAGTCGGCAGAATGGGACAGTTACGGAGACAGGTAGAATTATTTGAAGACTCCAGGAAGCCAGACCTTGAGTTTTGGGGGACTCTGCAGTATGGTGGGGGAACCAACAAACCAAAAAAGCAAAACAAAAACTTCCTGAAGACACAGAGAAAAGCCCCGTCTTCATGCAACTCATAAGGCTCTGTCAGGAAAACAAGCAAATACACTCAGCTCATAACTAGCTTTAGAATGGTTGCCAGCAGGACTAAGATCTTGAGTGCCTTCAACAGAAAGGACACAGATCCCTAAAGCCTCCTGTGTGAAGGATAACTGGTTTTTCAATGTAATGATAAGGGGTAACTTGTAAATTTTCTATATTGAGAAGCCTCTGAGAAATTTTTTAAAGCCACTGTCTCAACAACTTTGTCTCCATACACGTGGAAAGCAGACTTACACCCCACTCCATACACTGCAGATTATTAGACTCGTGCTCATGGCAGAAGACACCCTAGTGAACGACGGGTCTCCACCAAATCCAGCCAATCGCACTGTGTCTGCCCAGCATCCAGTTACCATAACTCTAAGAGCAACCAGCAGGTCTCAAATGAATATGTTGTTAAAATTCAGATGAGGACTTCCCGCTCCTCCAAGCTATAATTTGATCATTCTGTAAGTACCAAAGAATTCCAAATGTACCTTGTCTTCTTATCATCAGTGATCTGGGAGAACTGGATAGTTTCTCAGACCCCACAACCATACCCATCACCAAGGCGCTGCCATCGGCCATCAGAGGCATGGTGAGATTCTGCTTATTAGCTTGGCCCACCACTCTGCTGTCTGCCAACACTGGAGGTGGTCTCCCTCCCCTGATGGTAGCCCCACACTCCTGGGGACAGGTAAAGAATGAGTGACAACCGATGCTATGAGCACCCCTGTACCCTTGTGCCAGACTGGGTTGCAAACATGAACAGACTCTGTGTGAACAATTACAATCTAGAAGGTGATGGAGCTGCCGGAGGAGGTACTTGGCACAGAGCATCTACGGTTACCTAGGAAACTACCAGAGAAAGTGGCACTGTTGTGGAGTCTGATGGTGGACAGTGAGGGGATGTGCTGAGGCAGAGAGAGACATGATTCAAGTACCACACAGGCCATGGATGATCACAGGAGGGTGGGGCACTGTGAAGTAGGCTCTACTTATCTCCCCCCGACACCCGGGGAAGAAGAAAAGATTGTGCATGAACAATGCATGCCCTCAAAATACTTTGGCCCTGAATACAGATAAATTTTTCTAATCACAACTCTATAGACATCTGATGGTACCACTCTCACACATAAAAACATGCCCAAGAGTGCCCTGGCTCTGGCTGCCACTTGCTCACTGCCATGAGACACAATCAGGCAGGCATCTATTTGTTTTCCATCCCATTACACATTGGGAAATAAACTAAGATATGCACACAGCTCGTTATAAATGATGTTCTCAGTGTGGACGTCTCTAAGAAGAGGATGCAGGAAGCGTAGGCGGCCTCGTAATTAACTCGCCGACTTAGTGTCACAGAACAAATAGATGCAAGGAAGCGAAAAGATCCACTCCCCTTCTTCAAGTGCACCTCACTGATGCCTGCAAGTCATCTGTAGCTGAATAATAAAACAGGAATTTATCGGCCTGGTTTTTCTACTAAAGCATTTTTTTACTTTTCTCTATGAGTGATGGTTTATCAGCTGGAAGGAAAAACCAGGATTTTTTATTGTTTGCATATTTTCTTGTCTAAGATCAAGGGCCTAGACATAACAAATAGGGATTATTGTGCTGATTCATGGTGTAACAACAAGAAGGTGTTCTAAATAATATGTTCCCACTCTCATTGAATCTTATTCTTTAAAAACCTTGGTCTGGGGAAATGGCTCGGTGGTTGGAAGCATTTGCTGCAGTTCCAGAGGACCTGAGTTCAGTTCCCAGCACCCACACAACAGCTCACAGCTGACTCTAACGCCTGTTCCAGGGAATCTAGTGCCCTCTCCTGACCTCTGCAGGCACCAGACATACACACACAAACATACACATACATGCAGACAAAACACACATAAAATAAAAATTTTAAATCTTAAAAAAAAAAAACCACAAAACTCTCAGCATTCAAAAAAAAAAAAACCACAAAACTCTCAGCATTCATAGCAACCAAAAAGTGGAAAAAACCAAATAACTACCAATTGGTAAATGAATAACCATGGGCTTTTCTGTGCTCATAAAACACTAACGGGATGCTGACACACGCTCTGACATGGTAAGTGAAATGAGCTGAAAACAAAAGAACACATGCCGTGTGATTCTACTTACATGAACTGCCTCACAAAGGCCAACACAGAGCCGGGAAGCAGATGAGGGGCTGCCTGTGGTGTGACGATGGATGGGAACAGAGCGAGTACCCACCAGCATGAGGCTTCTTGGGAGAGTTAAGGAAATCCCGACACTAGACTGTAGCGCAGACACAATCCAAAAAAATATACTAAAACTCATTGACTTGCATCTTTAAAACAGGTGATTTTTTTCTATAACATGTAAACTATATCTCAAAACTATTCAAAAAAAAACTTTCAGAAAAAAAGAGTCCATAAGGTAAAAGTGAAGACCTAAGACTTCACTAACTCCGGGTATGGTGACGTGCACCTGTCACCCCAGCTAAGAGAAAAGCTGAAGCAGGGAGGATCTCTTGAGCCCAGGAACTTGAAGCTATGCCAGACAACACAGAGAGACGACACCAGAGTATAATGGGATTACAGAAAGACACCTGTGTGACACAAATGACCCAGCAGAAAACCAAAGCATTAGAGCCCCCACCAGAAGGCAAACTGAGGCAAGCGCTCTGCCGTCCAAGTCATCAATGATGGCAGTAACTAAGGCATTTGATTCACTCCCAAACATCCATTAAAGATGATGGAAGAGCAAACAACCAACCGGACAATGAAGCCCCAGAACTAATTCCTCCGGAGGAACTCTGGTGTCATCAGAGCCATCTAATCATTCAGTAAGTAACTCCCTTTTTCTCCCAGAAATGCTTACATCCTCCATCAAAGAGCCCTAATTGCAGAGTTATCAGTCTGATGGGCAAGCTACTTCAGATGACAGTGCAAATTCCAACCAGGCTAAAACAGCACCATGATCCAGTAGCATCCTAGTGATAAAAATCCGACCCCTGGGTCTTTTCTCAAGAGGGTCCGTGGATGTTCAACTCATCCTTTTTTAAGACTCTGTTTTGGACATGCATTCTCTTTCTTATGGACATAAGCAAACCAAAGAAGAAACCAGTGTATGAAATATCAACTACTCATCATTCACTCCATGATGCTCATTTTTTAATGCATAAAAACAAACAACAACAACTCAGAGCTGGAGAGATAGCTAACTGTTTAAGAGAACTTGCTGCTCATGTGGGGGACCTAAGTTCGGTTTCCACCACCCACACTGAGCACCTCACAAATGCCTGTAACTCCAGATCCAGGGGATGAAAGTCTAACGCCCTCTTCAGACCTCCACAGCCAACTGCAGACACACACACACACACACACACACACACACACACACACACACACACACACACGAATAAAAGTTAAAATTAAATTACCTGTCCAGGGCAATGGCAGGGAAACTGAGGATAGTCACAGAGCAGAAGACTTTGTGTAGGAATTTGACAACCTTGCAGAAGAACATGGTGTAGATCCACCAGCAGCAGTGAGGGCTGGTGCTGAGGATGATGTCGAAGGGCACACACACCAGGCTGGCACAAATCCCAGAGCAGGCCAGGTTTTTAATGAACCTGTTGGTGACAGATTTGAACACGGTTGTGCGGCAAGTTGACCATAACACCATGAAGTTTCCTGGCCAGATATGTAAAGAAAAATAAATAAATGGAAGTGAATTAAGGATTTAAATCAAGAGGAAAGACAACAAAAAAGAAGACAGGAAAGAAACACAGGTTAAATATTTTAACATGCTAAGAGTTTGTTTCAAGGATATCATACTGTCATTTTATGTAAAATTGCTGGAGCACATCCATACCAAAAATTGTTCATGAAATTTTAGTACTACTTTGGTTTTTTAATTCCAGGCAAAGGATAATCTATGACAGCTCAGTCTTATTGGCAGTATAAACAATGTTAAGTATTCATCCCAGGTAGTCTGTTTTGGTTTCTTTTGAGACACATAGCCCATGGTGTCCTTGAACTAGCTATGTAGTCAAGGATGACCTTGAACTTCTGATCCTTCTGAGTGTATTCTCCAAGCCCAATCTACAAAGTGCTGGTGATGAAAGTCAGGGCTTTGTGCATCTACCACCTGATGCCCCCTGACCATCAGTCTACTCCTCTTGAGTTTGCCAATAACTTCCATGTTTACAACTCTCTAGCAGTTCATGGAGAAAAAGGAAGCAAGTGGATTTTAATGATATCTTTTATTTAACCAAATTAATCCCAAACATTGTGATTGAAAGATAACATTACTGATAATTTACTGATGAAATATTTTCCTTCCTTGCTTTTGTGCTGTCTTCAAAATCCAGTGTGCATTTTATTTTACATTTCCAGAGCATCTCAGTTTGAAGTGGTCACATTTCAAGTACTGGGAGGCCACAGGCAGTGAATCAGTTTGCTTTCTATTGCTGTGATAAACACCATGATCAAAAACAACTTGGGAGCTGGGCGATGGTGGCTCATGCCTTTAATCCCAGCACTTGGAAGCAGAGGTAGGTGGATCTCTGTGAGTTCAAGACCAGTCTGGTCTACAAAGCAAGTTCCAAGACAGCTAGAGCTATTATACAGAGAAACCCTATCTTGAACTCCACCCACCCACCCCCAAAAACAAAACAAAACAAAACCAACTCGAGAAGGAAATAGCTTATTTGGCTCACATTTCCATGTCACAGTATATCATTGAGGAAACCAGGGAAGAGAAAAGCAGGAATCTGACTGATGTCACGAACTGAAGCAGAAACCATGGAGGAACACTACTTCCTGGCTTGCTCTCCAGGCTCAAGTTAAGCTGCCTTTCATGTTCCCAGCACCCCAGCCCAGGGGTGGCACCACCCACAGTGAGCTGGGCATTCTCTCAATCATTAATCAAGAAAATGTCCCACGGACTTGCAGCACGCCAATGTGATGGAGGCATTTTCTCAGCTGAGGTTCCCTTTTCCCAGATGACCCTTGTTTGTGTCAAGTTGACAAAAACAACAAAACAAAACAAACAAACAAACAAACTACCCAGCACATGTAACTAGTGACCTACACGCTGAAGAGCGAAATTCTAGATTTTGCAGCAATAACAACCTCATCAACCATTTCTCGCAGACAGTTTGCCTCTCTGGCTTCCACAGGCCTACTTTCTCTGTTTTTTTTTTCCCCACCTTCCCTGGAACGAATTTATTTCTGTCCTGCCAGCCAGTTCCCAAATAATGACACAGAGACTTCTTTTTTAATTTTTTCATTTTACACACGAACCCCAGTTCCCCCTCCCTCCCCTTCTCCTGCCTCCCCACCTCTCCCCACTCCTTAGAGGGGGAAAGGCCCCCCTTGGGTAGTCAACAAAGTCTGGCATATCAAATTGAGGCAGGGCCTACTCCCCCACCACAACCGCATCAAGACTGAGCAAGGTGTCCCACCATAGGGAATGGGCTCCAAAAAGCCAGTTCATATACCTGGGAGAAGTCCTGGTCCCACTGCCAGGGGCCCCACAAACAGATCAAGCCATACAACTGTCACCCACATTCAGAGGGTCAATTATGAAGGATCAGCCTAAAGCTTAGGCTTGTCTCACTGGCTCTTATAACTTAAATCAACCCATTTATATTAATCTATGTTCTATCACGTGGTGTTACCTCTCTCCCATCTTGCACCTCCTGTTTCCTCTCCATGTCTCCTGGCATCTCCTACACACCTAGATTCCTCTTTTTCTTCCTTTCTCTCCCAGGAAGTCCCACCTATACCTCCTGCCTAGCTATTGGCTGTTCAGTTTTTTATTACACCAATCACAGCCATACATCTTCACACAGTTTACAAACATCCCACAACACCTCCCCCTTTCATCAGCCTCTGATTGGTCTTTTTCAGGGACTCTGGTGTCTCTACAACCTCTTCCTGCTTAGACTACTTGTTCCTGTGGCTTTCCATCACAGTGCTGATGACTCCGAGATTCATGTTCCAAAGAAGCCTTTCCCTCTCAACTCCAGACTCCTAATTCCAATTAAGCCTGATAATGTAACCCTTTCTCAATGTGTCAGCCTCTAGGGCCTGTGTCTGTCTATCTAACCTCATACCTTTCCTCCTCTGGTTTGCAGGACACTAGCTCTCTGGTTTCTCTTGAACTACATCAAGGTTAATCCTAACCCTGGGGTATCTTTGCATAGCATTTCTAGATTGCCTGACATGTTCTTCATATATGTTTGGTTCTCTTAAGTCCAGGTTTTAGTTTAAATACTCTCTCCTCCAAAAGGCCTTCTCTGATTATCTCTCTATTTTAAACACTTACGTTCCTCCCTCCATGTGCTTCATTATAATACCCTGCTGTTCCTTGATAGTAGGTCCTTAATTACTAGCCATTTGCCTCTCTCTTTGTCATCAGGAGAAAAAAAAAAAAAAAAAAACATGTCACTCTTGTTCAGTTACAAGTCCACACACAGCTCAATATTAGGGAGAGTAAGCATCTTACAAATATTTGTTAAATGAATTTATAAAAAATACATGGACAGACAGTAATCAAAAGTCCTTGTAGTGAAACCATCCTTTAGGGGTATGGATATTGTCATCTGAGTTTCCAAACTGAACTCTGAGTTAGAAAGACATACTGAATCAAAGCCTGTGTTCGACTGAGGCCCCTCAACTGCACAGTGAGCTCCAAGCTCAGCTCTCAGACTCCTAGACCTGGAACCCACAGCCTGCCAAGCTGCCCAGGGCCCATCTTTAGGGGTACCACAGAGCACATTCTTCATTTGTCTGGTGAGAAAGAAGATCCATTCTGTAACTTGGCCATCTCCCTAAGGACACTGCTTCTCGAGCCATTTTGACAGCAGAGCTATGTGCTGTGGAAAGGACATGATGCTAAGCAGGGCACAGCAGATCCAGAGCTCCAGAAAGGGTCACCCCAAGGACCTGCCTTGGTCCCTGAATGTGGACAGAACTTACTGCCAAGTTCTCAAACACAATGTTCTATGATGCCTATTATCTGGTAGACAATGTAGAAAAACCAGTTGATGTATCTAGGTACAAAGGCCAACTGCTTCCAGGAATTCTCTACAGAATTCTGTATTAGCATGGTGACTCAGTAAGAAAACATCAACAGTGTTTATTCACACACCACACACACACACACACACACACACACACACACACACACACTCCCATTTATTCAGGATAAGAATTGCTTATACTGATTTCACCTGTCACCAAGGTGATAAAATGAACAATAATGATGTATGGGAAGCCTGCTGATTTGGAAGGTCTTTCTAGGCCTTTCTTCACTGGCACACAGATTAGAGCCTGAGCAAAGCATCCTCCTTACATAGTTTTACAGGCAGGACTTAAAAGTCTTGTCATGGTCTATTAATGAAATAGCCCACCAGAAGATGCCATCCATGAAGAGATGTACACATCACAGTCACCTTGATTTTCACCACTGGGTCTCTTTCTTTCACACTAAGATCTTTCACACTAAGATCTCCAAGTGTGGTGGTTTGAATGTAACTGGCCCCCATAATCTCACAGGGAGTGGCACTATTAGGTGGTGTGGCTTTGTTGGAGTGGGTACAGCCTTGTTAGAGGAAGTGTGTCACTGTGGGGGCGGGCTTTGAGATTTCCTATGCTCAGGATACAGCCTAGTGTCTCAGGCGACTTCTTGTGGCCTGCACGATGTAGGACTCTCTCAGCTCCTTCTCCAGCACCACATCTGCCTGCACACCGCCATGCTCCTGCCATGATGATGATGACTGGGCCTCTGAAACTGTAAGCAAGCCACCACAGTGAAATGCTTTCGTAAGGGTCGCTGTGGTCAGCGCGTCTCTTCACAGAAACAGCAACCATAACTAAGACACCAAGCTTCTGCAGCAAGCACCTATACCAAAAGAGCCATTTTGTACTGGTCCCATAGCCTGTATATTTTCAAAAATGTATTTTGGATTTTCAGCCCATTATTTTAACCCTGTCATATCTGTGTCTAAGTCCCCTTCTGTAGCACCCCAGGGTTGCTGGGCACCTCAGCCCTTGGGGACATTCTAAAGTTGTCTGAGTAAGATCTGTGGTCAAATCCCAAAGGATCACCGGCAACCCGGCTCAGCAGAGCCTTCACCCATGCCCCTGGGCTGGACAGCTCTTTCCAACCTGAGAAACATTTCCACTAAGTCCACAGCGGTGGCTGCTGTGGGACGGTCTGTATGTCAAATTGCTCTATTGGTCAATAAATAAAACACTGATTGGCCAGTGGCCAGGCAGGAAGTAGGTGGGACAAGGAGAGAGGAGAATTCTGGGAAGCAGAAGGCTGAGGCAGAGAGACACTGCCAGCCGCTGCCATGACAAGCAGCATGTGAAGACTCCGGTAAGCCACAAGCCACGTGGCAAGGTATAGATTTATGGAAATGGATTAATTTAAGATATAAGAACAGTTAGCAAGAAGCCTGCCACAGCCATATAGTTTGTAAGCAATATAAGTCTCTGTGTTTATTTGTTTGGGTCTGAGCGGCTGTGGGACTAGCGGGTGACAGAGATTTGTCCTGACTGTGGGCAAGGCAGGAAAACTCTAGTTACAGGTGGCCATCACATTCCTGCTGTGGTCCCATGGCAGGCTCGGGGAGCCTATGGAGGACTGTGGTTCACTGAGTCCAGTACCAGCTTCCCTG